TGAAGTTTTTTCCTATTTTAAAATTTATGTTGAATCTTTTAAAACCAGTGAGTCATCTGCCCATGGGGTTGTGTTTCTCATTTTGGTTTGGCCACTAGGAAGCTCTGGGCCAAACTTCTGGATGGCTTCTGGCAATTTGTAGGACTGTATGGTACTGAACCAGATATATACACCCTATCTCTGACTCCACTCCATGCCGTGCACACTAGCCCTATTGTTTCTTATTTGTTAAAATTGTTGTGTATGATTTCTATAATCACCTGATCCTCTTTTCCACCTTCAGAGAATAAGGTGAAGTACATAGAGTGTGAGAAAATAGAGACAGACTGCCCACTCCCCCAAGGGGCTATCATTTTTTTCTGCTGGGGTTGAGGTTTCCCGCTCAGGCACCTCTGCTTCATCACATACTACCAAGGAACCCACCCAGAGAAGGGCCCTTTGATGCCCAGTAAGGGGGGCAGTCAAAAAACACAGTAAGGAGATGAGAAGGCTGGGAGTTGCTTTAGAAGGCTGGAAGTGGACTTTCCAAAGCGATTAAACATCATGGGAAGAAGTGATTCTGCTCTTTGTCAGGGAGTCTCCCTAGTGCCCTGCTGGGGAGCATGGCCTGGACACAGGAGATGGGCTGTTCTGGCTGGCAGGTGAGTGTTTTTTTACCTAGCTCACAGACCAGAGCCTGCAAAGTCTCCTGTGGCAAACTATGTACATGCAAATTCAAAACTATCACTTCTCCTCCTTCTTTGCTTCCCAAGAGATCTCTCTTGAGGCAGTCTCCATCAGATGCCCCAGAGGCCATATCCATTTGAAGGGATATTGCAGAGTTGCATCTACTACTCTTGTCCAGGCCACGCAATACCCTCACCTCAGGGGAGAAAGGGAGGTCTTGTTTGAAAATATCTATTTTCCCCAGAGGATTCACTGAAAGAACTGGATAAACCTAGAGCTACTTCTGGAAGAAAAAGTAAAGCAGAGGTTTCTCTCCTAAACTCTGTTCAGTTAGTAAGATTCCTAGACACACACACACAAACACACACACACACACATGCGCGTGTGCACACACCTGAACATAATGCAAAGGCATAATTTGCTGTAATTAAAGCATAAAATCTATTCTCTTGCAATACATCCAATGAGCTGGCCTTTCTTCTTCCAGAGAATGCTGCAGATGTGTAATCCAGTCTACTGATGGCTCACTTCTCACACACACACAAAAAAGATATCTGTTGGTGGACTTCTCAAAATGTGTGACTAGGACAACAGAAATTTCTGACAAGTCAAGTACAGGTGATTAAAGCTTGCAGTGTAAATCAGTTAACATCTGTAATTTTCCTTGTTCTCCAATGCTATTAGTTATTTGAAGGGTAAAAAAGGATGTTTTACTTAATTTTTTTGAATCTTACTAGGTACCCATAGCTTAACTTAATGATTTGTATAAGTGATAGTAATTGCTGGGACTACAGTTGAGTATTATTAGCTATAAAATGAACATAGTTACATGTCCAACAGAACTAGCAAGGGACAGAAATGCAGTTGTATCCAAGAGAAAATAATTACAGCAATAATCAGTGTAATTCATGATAATGGCTGAATTGAATTTCACACCATAGCTCCAAGCACTTACATTTAATGAATGTAGTTTGTGCTTGTTTACTAAAAAGGTTTTTAGCAGAAAATCGATAATGTAACTTCAGTGTTTCTAATTGCAAATGCAATTATTTTTTTTAAAGTAGTGGTTCAATAAGGATTTTGTAGAGAAAATTGAGGCATGTGAGTGCTGCAAATGCTGGTGCTTTAATTAGTCTACCTGTACATTAGTGCCATGGTGCCTTAATATCTATTTATTACAACATATTGATTAAAATGGATTTGTATTCAATTTTAAGGCTAGCTAATGTAATGGACATTGAAACTTTTCTGGAAGCATTGGCTGGGATTACAACATGCCACTGGGTAATGAGGCTTTCTACAAGAGGTGATTTCAGAACTCATCTGACAAAGCTGGTGGTGGGACTAAGGCAGGCAGGGATAGAGCACGCACAGCCTCTGTAGGGCTATTGGCAGGGCCACCTGTCCTGTAACTCAGGAGTGGGAGGGGGTTCACAGTCTTACAGATTCCTGCTTACTTAGGATTGCTGTGTGAATCTTTTCAAGCCTGTCATGTGCCTGAGGTGGCCACGTGGAGTCCTTGAAACCCTCCGATGGATTTTGAGTATGGATTTCCACAGCTACTAGTTAGCTTGACCACTTAATGGGAAGAAGCCTAGGGAATATGCCTGAGTTCTCAGCCTATGAATAAATTGGTTGACTCTGTTTAGGTCTGGTGTTCTAGGTCCACACTGTTGTAAAATGGATCAGCATTCTTAACCGAACAGCAATTCTTTCTCAGAACTAACCCTGGGCCTAACTTTCTCTTTTCCCTTGTTTAAGACATCACTGTCACCATCAGGCCACTATCACCACCATCATCATTGTCACTTTCCTCTTCCTTGATGTCTTATCTCCATGGCCTATGGTTTTTATAGGAGCATTATGCCCACAAAAGAGTAAAGATTATCTCTTGAGAAGCTGAAAATTCCTCCTAACTACATGCATTGGTCAGGGATTTCTTTTTGTTTTTTTTGGTTTTTTTTGGTACCGGGGATCGAACTCGGGTCCTTGCACTTTCAAGGCAGGCGGTGGAACCACTGAGCTAAATCCCTGGCTGGGCAGGGATTTCTAACTTTGCTTTGATCATATCCTGGAGTTGCTAGCTCAAAATCACATCAATTTTGAACTTGAGTTACATATGACAAGGAGCAGAATTGTATATTTATAACCAACACAGACATACTGTTGAAATCCAAAGGGGTTGTAAGTCCTGACTCACATAATCTTGCTAAGGGTCTCTGTGAGAAGCAGGTTTACCTATAAACCTGAGCTCCAACAGGGTCTTCTATCATAGTTGCATTAAACATGAGCTACTGGCAGAGGGCCGACTGAGTTTCTGGGTTGTCATGACCAGGCCTGGGGTGCCTGCTTTCCTCCCACCACCTCCAGGCAGCTTTTCATAAGAAAGAAAGGCCTGTGGGCCCTCCCTCTTCTGGCTTTCCTGTGACATTTCAGAAAAGAGTCCACTTGATGTATACTTTCTGCATGTGCTACAGATGCTAGATGCATCTCATGGATTATCTACTTTTACAACTCTTTGAGCCAGACAGTACTGTTACTTCTATTTTCCAGACAAGGACAGTGGGTTGGAAAGTCAGTGGAAGAGCTGGAGTTCCAAGTGCTTCCCCATTTACCTCACTGGCTCCCTGGGGTCTGTCCAAGGTTCAACACCACCTACTATTTATTATTAGGTTGTGCCATCAGATGTGTATTTTTCTCACTTCTGAGCTAAAAGTGTGCTTTCTCTCTATCCCCTGGCCTCCTCTACTCCTGGTACGTTGTCCAATTACTATTAGAGAAGGGCATGCAGGTGAATCTGACTTGACCATGTCTCTCTTTGCACAGGGGGGATGCTGTTTCCCACAGCCAAGTGGGTCCATGCTCCATCTCCCTAGAGTTTGGAGGGTGAGGCACCTGACCTGAAAGCCTGCACACAGGGCCATCTCTGTGTGTTGAGAAGTGCTGGCACCTGCTTGACAGCCATGTGTGTAACTTTCATCTTCACAGGTGCCACTCAGGTAGTAAGGGGGATGGAGCCCAGGTGCTGAGCTGAGAAGGGGTCAAGTCCCACCCATCCCTGAGCTGAGTGCTCTCTTGGGAGTTCTTCTTCTTGACCTTTGATTTGCACATCTGCAAAGTGGAGCTAATTATCCCTGTCCCGACTTCCTCCTCAGGTGAGACCTTTGATTCTTCCTGTTTTGGAAAATCTGAGGTGATGGACTAGGGCAGGGCATTCATCTAATTAAGGAGGAAAAGATAATAGCCAGAGGATGAATTGGGCTCCTGGTATCTGGTTTGGTCCAGTCCATAGGCAAACAGCCCGTAACGCCCCCATCCTTTGCCACCCCCAATCCTTTGCTAGCTAGACTCCTTAATCCATGAATTAGAAAGCTCTTGCTTGGCCTATCCTTCTTCATCTTTTTGGCACACAGTATAGGTATATACAATATGGCTCCATGGAGCCAACCAGGAGTCCCTGCCTGGCGGAATGATCTCTCTGCCAGGCTGAAAAAGACAGACAGCCTATTTGACCAACAAATGTATAGAAAATAGCGGCTGGTAAGTAGCAATTACATAATAATCTTGTCCAAAGAAAATGCGGACTCAAATTAAGATGATTTCACCAGGAAAACATTAAGGTATACAAAGAGTTCTTAATAAATAGAAATAAATAGTACAGGGTTTGCGCCATGGTTATTTTCGATGGTTATCTGCCCTTGCCGCTGCTGCTCGGGCTGCATTTTCCGCAAGGCTCAGTGCGGCATTTTGCTCTACAAAAACAACTAGCTCCTTTCCAGCCAATGATTACTTGTAATTATGCTTTCCCCTGCTATTATTCTAATAGACCTGTCATGTTGCTCGGAGGACTCTGGCGTTTGGAATATACAACAGCTTTTATGGATGGACTGCTGGAACACTTAATATAGCTCTATTTTTGAATTATCAAGTTCTATCCTTTTGAAGTCTGTGTTAGTGGAACTCCTATTTATGAGATGTGCTGTGTTTAAAGGTTTGCTATTGATGAAGAGGTCCAACAGAGCCTTTATCGTAAGTACAGCAGCATTCTCCCTGAGAGATAAATAGCCGTGCTAAAAGGTATGGTGTGTACCTAGGCTGCAAATTACTAGCCAAGTACCTCGTAACAGTATACTTCAAAAATACCTTTATGCTTCTTGTTTGTTCTCTTTTCCATAGAGATGAATGACATTTCTTAAAACAGAGAGGGGAGGAAGCATGCTGGCCATCGTTGGTCATCATCATTAATTAGGCTGGAGGACACATTTGTTCTGGCACAGGGTGTCTGTCTGAAGACAGATGCACAAACATAGCTCACATCCACTGTGCTTTCTGTTTTGGGATTGGCTTTGCTTTAGGTTCCTTTAACTGAAAGGTAGACTTGGCTGAATCTAAGCCCTTCTGGAAGGGAAAGGAGGGTTTACGAAAATGGGTCAGCCAGGCAGTGGTGTCTTTTTGGGGAAGGGAGGCTGAGAAAACTGCTGGGGGCTGAGCAAGGACCTAGAGCTTCAGGCAGTGGTGGGTACAGTGGGCAGTGGTACTGTGTGTCTGGCAGACTGGGAGGCAGCTCCAGTGATCGTAGAAGGGGGTGGCTTGGTACAGAAGTTGCCATCCACTGTGGTTCTCAAAGGTCTGTATTTCTGGGGACTTGGATGATCACTAGCTCGAATTGAAGTTTCCTTTAGCACCTCCACCAAATAGCTTGTTTGTAGGCCCAAAGGTTGGAGGTCCTTGAGACTGGAGTAAGTGGACAATGCAGTCACTTCTTTTGGCCCTGGGTAGCCATCATGTGAAAAGCTACATTGTGTAGTTGGTGCATACAGGGACTTAAGGGGAATATGTGCTCTGGCCCCTTGGTATTGTGCAGAAATTCACTTGAGAAACTCCAAGCACCTAGCAAGGGTCCTGGAAGCAGACCTAATTCTCTAAAAGCCAACATGGAAAACATAGAGAGGGGCCCACAGAGCAGATTTTGACCATGTGGCAAGAATTCCCATCTATTCCCTGAAGAAAGCAGGCTATTGCTCCAGAATGTTTGCCTGTTGTTTTTCATTTGGAACCTTTATGCATCAGAACCCTGACTACACACTCCCTGTCTAATTCATCTTCACCCATATATTTTACCATTACTGATAGCCTTCCCCTTAAGCTTGTCTATTTACTAGCTGGTATGACAGATGACAGCGACTCTGAGCCATGTTAGATGGCATTTGTATGGCTCTGGTGCCAGAAGCATTCTAAGCGCTGGTGTTGCATATTTATTGATCTCCATATTCCCAATAATCGGATGCCCGTCACATTTGACAACATTATGTGGAGAGGTCAGCTAGATGGGGCTAATGAAACTGTTTCCAAGATGGATGTTGTTTTCCACAACATTACCCTTGCAAATAGCTGTCAGTGGGGGGATTTCACTGTTGGACCAGGCATTTGAGAACCTCCTCCCTTTTTTTTTTAATAGTTGACATTAACATTAAACAAAACCTGAAGCTATTGAATCTTAGTATTTATATACGATAGAAAACATGGATGCCCTGGCATCTTTCCAAATGAAAATCTTATTAACAGACCTGGTGCTTGTGGCAAAGTCCTCAGCAATTGCAGATTGGCTTGGCTGTCTAAAATGCTTGACAGATTAGCCTGAGATGATGTGAAGGACCAAATGGAAAAGGGTAAAGTCTGGAGGATTAAACCAGCAAATAGAGAGGCTTGCTGCAGACCAGAGGCAGGCAGTACTTTCTGTTTGTTTTCTGCGCTACTGTGAGCAGTCAGCACAAAATGCACTGAGGTTCAGGTAAAGGAAAAAAAGGATTTACAAAGAGGATCCGATTTGATGAAGTGCTGCACATGAATTAATGACTCTGGAAATGCATTGAGGGCAGTAATGAAAATATTACAGATCTCCTATATCTTACGTGGATCCAGAGCTTTTCAAAAGTCTTGCAAAGGGCATTTAGAAACTCCTCACTGTCTGTCCTATGTTGGACAGTAACCCTGAAGAGTCTTTCCAAGGAATGCCTCCTGGTTATGTTCCAGGTGGCTACTTAGTCTGCCAAAATTCATTGGGTAGTTGTAAGCACTTATATGCCCTTGTGTTTTTTCCTTTTGCGTATCTTGGATAATTTTGAGTTCTTTAAGAAAAAGATAGTAAATACTTAGTTTGAAATGCAATATTTTACAAAAGCACGTACATGTAGTGGACTCCTTCATAGAAGTGCTCCTCTTCCAACTCTGCCTTCGAGCAGACACACACAGGGATCTATAATGGAGTTAATAATCCTTGACTACTGGCTCATCCAGAACTTTCTCAACAATGAATTCATTTATCCAGTGCTAGCATTTAGGAACATTAATTCACCACATTGCTTATAGTCAGAAAGATAGAATAACTTCTCGACTTGTTTATTTTGTACTTGTTGAAGAAAGGATAGCAGAAAACTGCTGATTAACTATTGAGCCTTTTTCATTTGTGATTTTCAGTACGTCTTTCTGTGACATCCCTTTTCAGGTTATGCCTTTTGGATTGTATGGAATGAAGAGGCAGAAAAGAATTGTTGAGTTCAAGAGCAGTGAAGTTTAGTGCTCGGCAGATGTTTACTTTCTTTTCAGATGGAGAACTTGTTTCTTCTTCATCCCTCTCCTGCGCTCTCCTAGAATATATACCATCAAGAAAGTGTATTCTCTTTGATGAATTCTTTAAAGTAATAAGGGAAACAAAGTCAGACAAAGACAGCTTCAGGTGAGGTAGAGTGGTGCAACATACTGCCTACAATTTAAGAGATAAAATTCTCATTAAAGAAAAACATCCTAACCAAAAAAAAAAAAAAAGAAAAACATCCTCAAAAAGTAATATATGAGAGATGCAAGTTACAGCTACCCTAGGTAGCTTTAATTTAGGCTTGAGCAAATTACATGGATAGTAGTTGCTATAGTAACTAGTAGACAATATGGCATTTATGTTGCTATTGAGATATCTTGTAGTTTACTAAAATAAGGGATGGGGGCTTCCAGGAGCATATGAACACTGTACAGAGGGAACAATTCTCGTAAACATTTTACTTTTTCCATTTTAGTGTTTTTTTATAATGGAATGAGTATCTACAATTATATACAGCCCGTGGGTTGGTTTGTTGTTGTTATTAATATTTTTTCCCAAATGAGATGTCCCTTTCAAAATCTGGTCCCTGTGGCACAGCTGAGGATACCATGGATGCCAGATTGGCTGGTTTCCAGGAGGAGACTTCCATGTTTCCTATACTTGCTGTGCAGTGTGCATCAATGTGGGCCTGTTGAAATCAGACTCAAAGACCAAGACAGCTGGAGAATTCAGAGCAGGAAAGATGCTGTCAGAGGTTGTGATTTTATGCACTTGGGAATATTTGGTAATTAGTATACTTTTGAAAAGCATTTGAGATCCCTTTTGGAAACCGTTAAGTTGTTTCAAAGAGAACTTGTGCTCAAATGCATTGTTTCACATGTGAGGTTCTAAGAAGGCAGTGGAGAACATGCAAAGTAGGCAGTTGTCATTTTTGCCTTGAGATTTTGGCAGGTAGACCCAGGTAACTCAGGCCCTATTTTGGGTTTTAGAGCCCAGCAGCGAATTCCATAACAGATTACCCAGTGGTCTATCTGGTTTTTCACAACTACAGATCACCAATTCTAAATTTGGTTTGGGCAGACTCAGCATGTTTTCAGTCCTTTCAAATTCTTAAAGCAAAGCAGATTTATACTAATTTAATTTAACAATTCATGTCAATCAGGACTTCTTGCACTTGGGATGGAAAGGGGAATTCTTAAGAAGAGGAAATGTAGAGGTAGGGCCCCAGGATCCCTAAATCAGTGATGGCAAATCTTTTAGAAACTGAGTGCCCAAACTGCAACCCCAAACCCACTTATTTATCACAAAATGCCAACCCCGCAATTAAACCTGAATGGTTGGCTGCTGGGGCGATGTTGGGGTGACTTGGCTTACATGCCAAAAGAGAGGGCTCTGTGTGCCCACTGCAGCACACATGCCACAGATTTACCACCACTGCCCTAAATGATGGGAATCATGGAAACAAAGTGGGGATGCACTGAGATGTCTTGAGTCTGCACATGTTCTGGACTTGTACTCTTAGCACAACTTCACATGCAGTTTCCTCTCCACAAAGCAACATGAAATAGAAGACTAAGCATAACCTTTGATGCTAAACCTGAGTTCTAGTCCCAGTCCTGCTATTTCCTAGGATTGTGGCCTGGGGAGGGTAAGCGGTCCAGTAATCCTTCTCCTTTGTAGAATTCATCTAATAAGGCCCACCTGGTTAGTTGGGACTTGTGTTAATCAGCTTCCTATCACTATAAAGCAAATGGGAGGTAATCAACTTATAAAGAGAGGTTTATTTTGGCTCACAGCTTTGGAGGATCCAGACCATAATTGATTGGCCCTGTTGCTTCTTGGCCTGAGGCAAGATAGCACATTATGGTGGGACAAAATTTCTCACCTTATGGCCAAGAAGCAAAAGAGACAGAGGGATAGAGAAAGGACCTGGGGTCTCACAATTGCCTCTGAGTGCATGCCTCAATAATCTAAAGACCTCCCACTAGGCCCCACCTCTCAAAGATTCTGCCATCTCCCAATAACACTAAGCTGTGGTACAAGCAATTATTATTAATTAATTATACTGGGGATTGACCCAAGACCTTGCACTGAGCTCTACCCCCAGCCCTTTTTATTATTTATTTATTTATTTCTGAGATAGAGTCTTGCTAAGTTGCTCAGGCTGACAACTGCCTCAGCCTGCCACATAGATGGGATTACATGTATGTGCCACTGTGCCCAGAAGGAACAAGATTTTAACACCTGGACCTGTGGGGAACACTTACCCAAACCATAGAAGTCCTGTGAGCAAGAGAGTGCTGGGATGCTCAGATTCCAGATCTGGGCTGTGAATTCCACCTCTCAAGAGCTGTTCTTTATCCCTACTCCCACTCTGGCCAGTCTGGCTGTCAGTATCATTGGGCTTGTTAGCCTCAGAGGACCCTATTGTTTCTCATACTCTATGGTTATAAGGCATACTCTTTTCCAGTTTTCTAAACACTGCATCTTTGCTTTAATAAATGTGTGCAAAGACCTCTCCTGTCTTCATAATCAAACACAAATTCTTCTTTTTCTGAATTTAAAAAGCTGCTCAAATGAAAGTTTGATTTGAAACGAAGTCATGTATCTATCCAGGTATGGCTTCTGGAGCTGGAAAGAACAGAAGAAATCATCAGTTTGAGCACTTTGCTCCAGGCTGAAAATGGATTTTAATTTCTATTTTATAAATGAAGCAATTGAATTTTCCCCCAGAGTCCAGGTGACCATGCTATCTCATGACCTTCAGTAATTTGGAGGCATCTATTTCTATGCATTTATATTCCCAGAATTTGCAAGAGGGAGGAAGTTCCAAGGGAAAATGTTTAAAGGGTGAATGAGTCCAGTGAATCTTTACTCAATTACTGTCAAAACAAACACTGTCACCAAGAAATGGATGTTGGGCCAGGAACCTTCAGGAGTTGCAGAGGGAGGAGGAGAAGGTTCACTGAAAAAGAACAGCATCTGGTCTCCTGACTGGATTCTAATCCATCTCCTAAGCCCTCAGTGCCTGAGATACTTCAGCATCTCACCGTGTGGAATTCATTAGACTGTGGAGGAAGTTGAGTAAGAATCAATTTTTTGTCTAGCTCCAGAAATTCTTTGGAGTAATAATGTCAAAATGATTATCTCATCTGTTGAAATTGGCTGGAAAATATCAGAATTTCTCTGGATATTTATGAGATTACTATGTACCAGCAGGTCTGTACATGTGAATGTGACTACACAGATGCCCGGAGAATGTATAGGCAGCCAAGTACATTTATTTTTACAGAGGGTAATTATTACAGTCTCTCCTCCCAGAAATGAGCCTTTTGTTTTATGTTTTCAATGAGAACTTTGAAATATTAAGATATTTTACTGCCTTAATGTTCTGAATTGTTTGCCTCTCCATATTGCAATCTAAAACTCATTAACAGTTGAACAATTTAATCAGAATGAATCAAATTGTGAAATGGATACACAGGCAGTTCACATAGCCATAAAGCATGGCTGAAACTTTTCTGAACAGCTTAATAAAACTTAGAAGGCAGCAAGAAATAAATGATTAGCCTAGACAGTATCAGGGTAAACAGAACCTGGAGCCATGAACTTGGTAATTGTTCTCCCTCACTCAGCACATTTGCCAAGTCTTGGTCTTAATTCATGAGATGGACCCACGGTTATAGGATTTAAGCTGGCAGTTTTTCTGTAAGATTTTTCTCTTAATAGTGGGCATGATCAGGGAAGCAAAGAAAAAGTATGCACATTAGGCCTGACCTCAGTTCTGGGAGTATTCTTCAATTAAAAATACATCCCAGTTTTGGAAGAAGGATTCAGTTTCAAGAGTGATCTTTTCATTTATTTAAAAATATTATTTATCCCAGAATTTTCTCTGTAGAGGCAGTTAAATATGTTTTGTGAAAGTAAGCTTTCATTTCATTTGGGTTGTACCCACATCCAGTACAGTAGTACATCCATTCCCGGACACTTTTGTTTGTGAACAATTTGGTTCACAAGCAGAAGCATTTGGAAAATTTTGTTTTTGTCTGCAAACTCTATGAGTAATGTGACAAACATGACTGCAGTCACCTTTCCCAACAAACATAAACGTGGCCATCTTTTCCAAAATCGTGGAACAAATAGTTTGTGATCCGAGGTGCCACTGAACTCCAAATGTGTGACGGAGCCAGTGTTATCATGCATCTGAATTCAAGGCCACCAGTAGGTGACCAACTTGACCTATATTGCCCCAGATTGTCTGTGTTAACACAGAAAGCCCTGTGTCCTTGGAACCCACGGACTCTCAGGCAAAGGGGATTGGTTTCCTGAGATAAAGTCCCATGTTCCAGAGACTTCCTGGCCTCAGGGCCTGAAATCATTCTCTCTCCCAACATAAGTTTTGCTTACAACCTCCTAGGTAGATGGTTGTCCAGAATTATTATGTGCTTTTGTTCACAGTGCCATCTCCCCTTCCTGCTTCTTTTTCTGAGGATGAATTGAAGCATCTATTCAGTCCTCCAGCACAGGTCTGGATATTTGAGCCTTTCCCATTTCTATGTGGCCAGTGAGAACTTGTAAAACAACAATATAGTCTACAATCTTAATACTATAGCTTCAAATGGTACCTCCTAAACCATATGTCTTTGTTGTTTTTATAATCTGCACCAGCAAACACCATCTACACCTGCTCTGCACAGAACTTGGTGGCTCCAAAGTGGAAAACTCTTGATCCGTGATTCAGGGACATCTCATGGCCCACGGCCAATGAAGAACCATCAGAGCAAGGGCCAGCTCAGTTCCTCATAAATTATTGCTGCCCTTGTGGAATGTTTCTAGTTCAAAGTCAAGTTGATTATTGTGTAACAGTTTACATATGGAATAATTCCTTCTTAGATCCTTTACTTGAGATTCTCATCTACTTGGGTTTACTTCTGATGCTTTTTCTAACATCCTACATTGGATTAATCAAGATTTGGAAGTTGTATGTGTTATTTCTGCTTGTTTAGTGGCTACCCTTCACATTTAACGTCCTTAAATTACATGTAACATGTTTATATTAACAAAAACTTGTTTCTTAATCCTTCTAAACAATATGAAGTCAATAGAACATTACATATCAGTCAGCAGTTACACTTGTTATTACTATTAATACTATTACTGTTTTATTATGATAGAGTATTTTGTAGCATATGCCAGATATTAAGTCTTTTCACATAGAAATACTGTAGCTAAAAATAATTTTCTTCCTCTTCAATATAACCAGTATGCCATTAACAGTAAACAAAATTAAACGAAAGTAAAACAAATGCTCTCCTATCCCTCTATATTTAAATTTCCCCAGCTGCCTCAAAAATTTGTTTTGTAGATGGTTGGTCTGCATAAGTAGCTGAACAAATATCAGATTTGATATTTTATTAAATACTTCCCACCCCTGTGTTCCCATTTAAAAAATCCACTTGTATCTTAAAGAAAATGTGAAATGTTCCATAGTCTGAGTTTTGCTAGTTGTTTCTAGCTGATGTGCCACAATTTGTCCTCTTATTCCATAAGATAAACCAGTGTTTGAATCCAGTGACTATTTTACATTCAGGACTTTTAGGGTAAGACAACTTTGGAGAGGTGATTATGTATTGGTTGCACTACTTTGAGAGGCACAGAAGTGTCTTGTTTCCATTTTTATTGATTGATCAGGGTTTGGGTGATACTAGCTGACCCCCCCCCATTATGTAGTCAAAATCCTCACTTAATATTTTATTTTAGTGTGGTAAAATATGCATATATGTAAATATGCATGTTAAATATAAATAAAAGTGGTTAAAATTTACCATTTAAACCATCACAAAGTATATAGCTAGTGTCTTTAAATATTTTCACAATGTTGCACAACCATCACCACCATCCATTGCTAGGTCTTTTCATTGTCCCTATGGTTTGCATGTATTTCCTCCAAAATTTAAGTATTGTCAATGTGGTAGTGTTAAGAGGTGATTCTCCTCCTTCACAAGTGGGATTAAGGCTTCACTCAGTGTGAGGCTCACTTGCCCTTCCAGCCTCTGCCCTATGGGATGCTCATGACCAGTGGATTGTCATCTCAGGGCTCCTTCCTCCACTCATGAAGATGGAGCCAAAATGTGCCATCTTGGAAGCAGAGAGTGGTCCTCACCAGACACCAAACCTCTGTTGTCTTTATCTTGGATGCCTCAGTGTCTAGAAGTGTGAAAAGATAAATAAATACTGTTCTTTATTTTTTCAAGACAAGGTCTCACTGTGTAGTTCAGGTTGGCCTTGAACTCACTATGTAGCCCAGGCTGGCTTTGAACTCTTGGTGATCCTTTTGCCTCAGCCTCTTGAGTACTGGGATTACAGGGATGTACCACCATTTCTGGCCTAAATTACTATTCTTTACAAATTACCCACTCTCTGGTGTTTTGTTACAGTAGCATACATAGATAAAGACCATACCCACTGAATCTCTGCACCCACTGAACATTACCTTCCCATTCTCCCATGTTCCTAGACCCTGTAAACCCCCAATTCACTTTCTGTCTCTAAGAATTTGAGTAATCCAGGTACTCCATATGGGTGGAATCATACAGAATTTATTCTTTTCTTTTTTCTTTTTTTTTTGGTACTGGGGATGGAACTCTGCAACTTGTACTTGTGAGGCAGGCGGCAGAACCAATGTGCTAAATCCCTGGCCCTAGAATTTATTCTTTTCTGACTAGGTTATTTCACTTAGCATAATGTCTTTAGGATTTATCCACGTTTCTGTTTAAGACATTACTTATTCCTGAATAATAGTCCACTACATGTACATGCTACATTTTCTTTATCTGTTGATGGGCACATGGGTTGCATCTACCTTTCGGCTACTGTGAATGATGTTGCTATTAACATGGATGTACTCAATGCTTTTATCATTCATTGATGACATTTCTCTAGATCCATTATTTTATTATGAGTTACAAAATGATTTTTAAATATTTTCTATTATTATTATTATTTTTCTATTATTATTATTATTATTATTTTTATTCTAATGTTTTCAGAATAATGCATCGATGCATTTGTATTCTACAAAGGTGACCCAATAGTTTGTTTTTTTGTTTTGTTTTATTTTTGTGTTTTGAGACATGGTCTTGCCGTGCAGTTCAGACTGGACTTGAACTCACTATGTAGCTCAGGCTACAAACTCATGGCAATCCTCCTGCCTCAGTCTCTTGAATGCTGAGATTACAGGCATGCACCACCATGTGTGACACAAACATTTTTTTTAGCCGATTTTTTTCATAGCTTTTCATGTTGTTTGCTGTGTCCTTTGTCACAACGCTAGCAGCCTTTTATCACCCCTTTGTTTTCTGGAACTAAACGATATCCCAGATTATTGTTGTACATTTTCTACCCATCCTTGAAATCATCCAGTTTTCCAAATAGACATGGTTTCTTTGGAACCAGGTACTTAGAGACTACAATCTGGGCATGTGGTATGCTCATTACCAGCAGATTGTCATTTTTTCTAGGCTTTGCAGTAGAGCTAAAGTGTGTTATTTTTAAGAAGAGAAATAATCATGAAGTCATACTGATATTTTAAATTCAAATTTGGAATCAATGCATTTAGTTGTTTGATTCTCTGTGCTATCTGTTATGATGATTTTCTTTCTAAAACAGGACTCAGTAAGTAGTTTAGGCTGGCCTTGAACTCCTGGCGATCCTGTTAACTCAGCCTCCTGTGCCACCACACCTGGCTTTCTTTTGATGACAGTCTTGATTCTGTTAGATTAACACAATTGTTTATTTTATTCTAGACTATTGTTTGTGGCTTCATAGTTAACAGTAGCTATGTTTATATGATAAATAAATACGAACACTGTTAAAGGTTTTTTTCCCTGTTCTTTTTGTCCTTAGGTTATCTCCCATTAGGGATATGCAATTTTTGCACTGTTTTGTCAATTGAAGTAACTGACACTAAGTTTCTTTGTGTGTCTGTGCCACCAACTCGATACACAGTTATGTCCATTTGCTTTAGTGTGTTTTCAAGCTTCAGGATTTTTTTCTTAAAAAAATTCTTTCAACTATGAAACTGTACTAAAAAAAAAGACAAAAACTTTAAATATACAATAGGGACAGCCTCAGAGGTCTTGTTTCCATCTTTCCCTCCTCTAGTTTGTTTCTTTCTCCTCTATGTAATCATTTTCATTAGCTTTTAGTTTATCTTTTCATTATTTCCTTTTGGAAACAGAAAACACATGCACACATACTGTCTTTTCTTAGACAAAAGACAGCATACTTTTTGGTATGCCTGGTACTCTTGTGATACTATTCTAAATGCTGGGCATTTTGATTATTTGTACCATTTGGCTATTTTAATCAATACTGAAACGGATGACTTTGTGATTATATGGCTTTGCATTTTTGTTAATATATCTTTGCGACAGAGTTTTAGAAATGGGATTGCTGAGTTAAGGGATGATGCAGATAGATTCGTCAGATGGTACTGAATCCTGGCCACACGCTTGTCCCATTTGTACCTGGCTCCAGCAGTGCCCTCTTTCCCACGCACCATTACCAGTAGAGAGTACTGTAGCACCACCTCAGCTACTGGGACAGTCCAACAGTAATTGTTTTGTTTTTAGATTCTTGTACCTCGTGGACTGTCCAGATTTGGATTCCTCACCTCTGTGTGCTTGGGGTTTTGATTGCTTGGAGGACTGGGGGATTTTTTTCCCCCTCCACTCCTTGAGCCTCAAGGATAGTTCTTTGCTCCTTCTCAAAGTGGGAATTTTCCAGCCACACTTTGATGGGGGAAGTAGCCTTTTGGGGCTCCTGTATTCTGTTGTTTCAGTGGGGCATTCCTTCTTGGTGAAGGCTGACGCCTTCCTCATCATTGCATTCTGCCCTAGGCCCTGCGCTGTGAGGTTGTGTGTGGATGCAGTGCCCTACTGGGCCCCACACTATCTCCTTTCCTTTTTGCCACTCTGGTTTTGAGTGCCCCCTTCAACTCTGGCACCTAGAGATTTCCCGTTACAGTCTGTCTGTTGGGGGTTACATTATACCCAATGTTTCTATGAGAAATAAGAGGAGGGGGTTCTTCAGAATTTTAGATCTTCTTGTTGCTGGAAGAAGCATGATCCAGATTTACAATAGTTATGCCAAAAGGGGAAAATAGAATGGGAATTGGGAATGATTATTTGCTATGCAAGTTTCCCTTAAAGGAGGACTTCGCCTGGAGTGTTGAAACAAATTTTATCTTTAACCGAAAGTGAATGTGTAAGTATTGCCCCAAATAGTGTATCTCTGTTTTGTGGCAGAGTCTCTGTCTTTGTCGTTAGGAGTTGGTGCTGTGGGCACACACATTTCCTCATTGCAGGCCTGAGGGGAGAAAAGTCAATCACTACATCCTTTTGGTCTCATCTCATGGTTGAGACTGCAAACAAGCTGCAAAACAAACTGTAGGAGATAGGCCTCTGGGAGAAATACATCACAAAGAGAAAGGAAAGGGGGATTATCCCTAATGGGATAATTAGGAAAATCCTTTTGTCAATACTGTTTAATTTCCTTTCATATTCCTAGTTGTCCTATTAACCATGTAATCAGTACCTTCTGATAATTTCAAATACGACCTAGAATTGACCTATCCCCCCTCAAAGTGCAGTGGGCCTTTGGTTTTCTTTTCTAAAACCCCGGATACTTCTAAACACTGGACTCCGTTAGCTGTGGTTTTGTGCCAGAAATCCCTTTAGATTGGCATTAGCCCAAATGGTGGAGAATGGTATATAATGCTGAGGTTTGCTAGGGCACGAGATGAGCTTGGCTGAGCCTCGGCTGCTAACAAGCCTGGCAGGACACCAATGACTGAGTTTATAAACAGAGAACAGGTTTTGGTGTTGCCCGTGGCTGTTGTGTCCTCCTTAACGTCTGTCAGTGTATCCCTGTTAGGTTTTGAAGAAGGGTGTTTGGAAACCACTCCTAGCCCAGAGAACTCCTCATTGGTCTTCCTTTCTCTGATTTATCCCAGTTGTAAAACATCCTAAATGAATAGGCCAAAATAGAAATTCAAAGTTTTCTAAACAGAGACCTGTCAGATTACTCCCCTGCTTCACACTTTTGGGTAAGTCCCCAAGACTAATTTCCTAGCCTGGTGCTGAGGCCTCTTCCATCTCAAGTTCAAGCTCAGCCTGAGCAATTTAGTGAACCAGTGAGACTCTATCTAAAAAAAAAAAAAAAAAAAAGAAGCTCAGGGATGCTGAGGATGTAGCTCAGTGTGAAGGTTCTAGGTTCGATACCCCAGTAGTGAGGAAAAATAAAAAGGAGGAAAGGAAAGATTTGTCCCTTCTACCTAACTGTTGAGCTGTGACATTGTCTCTTGTCTTCTGTTGTCCTCGGTCTTGGACTCACAGCATCGACTCCCCTGTTTCCAGGCCTTTGGACTCAGAATGAAACTAAACTATGTTCCTGGCTTTCCTGGGTTTCCAGCTTTTGAAAACTTGAGAGGGCAGTTTGAGGGACTTTTCATTCTCCATAAGCCAACCCTCAGAATGATTCCCTTTCTTCATATATTCTATTAGCTCTGTTTCTCTTAGTAAACCTGAGTGCATCTGCCTAGTAAATGCCTACCTACTGCTCAGGAGTCATTGCCCCAGCTCCCAGAGCATGTCCTCTGTGTCTCTGCTTCTGAACATTTGGCGTGTTCAATTGTAAACATTCTTCAATTTCTGGCTGGTGTGCATGTCTGAGGAGGACCTGGCCTGCTCAGAGGACATCGATGGCAACAAGAATGAATACAAGAATAAATTCAGGCAGGGTGTTTTCAGTTAAATACCCTTTGACTGGAGGAAGTTGGAGCAGATGATCTCATTACCTTCCCTTCCCAGGCTGGTTGTGTGAGGAAATGAGGCAGATTTTACCCTGATATCAGCAGTCCATTGCCCTTACTCTGGCCTACCATGCCATGAAGATGAGGCTAGTTCCCAGGATAAAAGTATCAGAGGGCAGAGACTGGAGCCTCTCAGTGCTCCATGAGGGTAACTGTTCCTATCAGAGATGCTGAGTGAATTGATGAATGGATCATTGTGAGAATGTGAAGGGATTTCAGATAATCCATTACTATGATGGAAAAAAAAAACAACCTACGGGAACACAGGGAAGGACTTCAGGACCTATCTGAAAGTGATGGGCAATACAGGATCCCTCTAGTCAAAGAAAGAAGGTAAACTGAGCTTTGTATGCAAAAGAGACAATGGTAGGCTAAATATAAAGAGGAATGAAGTTAAGGATCCTGGGCTTGGCTACATTGTGAACTTTTATATACTTGCCCATCTATCTATCAATTCATTTATATGTCCATTAAACCATTTATTTGTCTACCCAGTCATCCATCTATCTTTCCATCAACTCACCAGTCTCTCCCTCTATTCAAATTTCCACCTACCTACCAACTATTTATCCATCCATCCTTACCAAATATCCACAGAACACTAGGGATTAGAAACCCAAACATGTCTCTACCTCCATGGAATTTGATATATAATGGGTAGAATGTCATATAAACAATTATTGTGTAATAAGAGAATGACTTCAGAGGATGTACTATCCACCTTGCAGCGAGTGAAAGCACTTAAATTTGTGTGGCTTCAGAAAGGCTCCCCAAAGGATGTTTGGATCCAGACCTGAGCAAAGAGGAGGGGTTCAGGGCCTTGGGTCTCAAATTCTGCCTCACCTGTGCGAAGTAAGCATGGGGCCAAATGACATCCAATGAAAAGTTCTAAGTGGCAGGTACAGATTTCATATTGAGCCAGTCAGTAGGCCTGGGGCTCCCCATTTTTGAGAGGCTCCTGGATGCTGCCCAAGAACTGGCCATTGTCCACCAGTAGTTAAAGGACCCCCTCTGTTACTTGTTTCTTGGGACAAAGCTAGAAGTGGGCTTTCTGGGCTGTTCAGGGCCCAGGGCCCATTGTCTGTAGTGTGACAGGAACCCCATGAATTTTAATAGCCTCCATTCAGAATGATTAAAACCTTAATGAAATTTAATTATCTTGATGTTAAGTGTTTTGTGTTAAGTTATTGCATTCTGACCACTCATTGTTTGAGGCAAGCTCAGGGCAGCTCACCCTACCTCTACCTTAATGGAAAGGAAAGTTGAATATATTTAAATGAAATTTCCCCCAAAGTAATTGCCTTCAATGAAACACCAAGTAGGCGTCAGGATTGAATTTATAAATTGGCCTGGCTGCAGATGAGAGCTACCATATTTGGCACGGTTCTCATTAATCCAGGGTCTCCAGAAGGAGCCATGTGAAAAGTTCAGACTGTAAATGACAGGTGTTTATGGTTTGCAATTGCATTAAACAGCCTCTTAAATGCAGGTTAAAGGCTTCTGTGAAATATGGAATATACCTTAAAACGTGGCCAAAATTTTTGCCATTTTGGACTTTGCATTACTTACCTACAGAATTAGTAGAGTTTTCGGTTAATCAACTGTCAGTGTAAATTGCAGTCGAGTGAAATGCTTATAAATACCGCTAAGCACAGTTTGCTTTGGCCTGTTGCTTTTTTTTTTTCTTCCCTCCTCCCTTCCTTTTTCTTCCCCTGGGCCTTCTGAAGGCCTTCAGCTGATGGAGAGCCTTTAATTTCACATTTTGGCCCCCACCGCAGGTGATAAACAAAGGTTTCCCCGCTGCTCTGGCTGGGGTCAGTTATCCGGCCTCCAGTCAATCCCACTGCCCGTAATTACACACAAAAGGTGCCTGAGATCCGCAGCTAATTTTCGGCCTCTGTTTAGCAGAATTTAATAGCAGGTATTACTGCTGCCGCGGTAATTAAGGACCTTTGTCAATAAGACGGAATGGATGGCCACACTTGGTTGTAATCAGTGGGCTCTCGAGAGCCAGAGGAGTGAAAAAGGAGAGAAGCAATCCATTTTGTGAATAACGCCGCCCTCCTCGGCCTCCCCTCCCTCCCAGATCCGGCGATGGAATAATAATTCCCCAGGCAATGAAAGTACAGGAATAAAAGTACTTACCCTCCAGCCGGTGATTTTTTTTTTGACTTTTTATTTACTCTACTGAGCTTTCTTATTTGCTCCGGGCTGCATTTGATGAAGTATTGTTTAAACAGCACAGAGCAAAATGGATGTAGGGAGGTGGGGAGAGGAGGAGGAGGAATTTTAACCAGGTGGTGAGGAGGCGCCCTCCTTTAAGGTGGACGGCTGCTCGTTCGGTTTATCAATTATTTCTGTCGGATACAAAAAAAAAAAAATGACAAAACCAAGTGGCTTCATGAAAAGGTGGAGGGTGTCATTTTGTGCCGTCTCTGAACATAGTCATTCAGCTCTAAATGGGTCGCCTGTAACAAGCGAGAAGTGAACTTGGGGGAGCGCTGTCACCCTCCCGCCTCCTCCCTAATGCACCTCTCAATGGCCCCGGGAGGGGGCGGCGTGGGAGGGGAGGGGCAGGGGCTGGCGGCCACAATTCAAAGACACCGTCAAGGTGTGTGCCCCTCTCGGTAATTGGAGAGGAAGCTGCCTTCCCTCGCCGATTCCCGGCCTTTTTACTGGCTTTAACAAGCATGATGCTTTTAATAGTGCTTTGAGTACCATCTCTTTATACGCCTCTCCCTTTTTAAAGCAGCTTTAACTATACTCTTTCTGTCGCTAATGTCTGAAAAACTTCTACCTTTAATCATTCCCGGATGAGGCAGCAAACAAGCGGCCCTTTCCTCTTGCAATTATGTGCTGGGCAGGAGCTGCTTGGCAAGGAAGAGGCGAGTGGTGGTGAGCTGGAAGGGCCAGGGCGGCTGCAAGTGCAGGGATTGTGCGGATCTGCGGCCAGGCCCGACCTTAAGGGAGGCCCGGTGGTAGGGCAGGACATCAGATTTAAATGTCCAGATCTGCATAGTGGAAAACAAAGATCCACCTGACTCTTATGAACGAAACACTTGGATTTGGTTAATAGGAAAAAGGTAGAAATTAGGTTAGTGGCTATTCCAGGACCTATTCCCCTCTCCCTTGCCCAACATGCGTTGCTCCATTCCCAATTAGGAGTTAACCCCAAACTGGGCTAATGGGTGTGGGCTGCCTGTGTCTTGAGCTCAGAGGTTTCACACCCACTCCTGGGCTGGCCAGGGAGTCAGCGGGGCTGGCTTCAGCAGCGGCTTTGGCTTCGGCTTTGGAGCAAAGCTGTATCCTTTGAGGACCAAAGGTGCACAGCTTTAGGGTTTTTCAAAGGGGGTGGTGGGGGGAAAGCTGGGAGTTTGGGGGCCTTTGAGGGGCTCTTGGCTCACTGTAGACTCAAAACCCAGGAGTGATGAAAGTCACTGCTTGGTCCCCATTTCTTCATCTGTTTCACTCCTCCCCGAAAACGGGCTTCTCTTTCTGGAAGCATTTATCAAACCAAAGTCTGGCAGGTGTTCTAGAGGTGCAGTTCTTCCTAGAGGGCAGGTGAGGAAGAGGGGAAGAAGGGTTTGTCTGTGCTTCTCTGTCCCTTCTCTGAAGTGGCAGTCGGAAAAGAATCCCTTCTCTCCTCTTCTCTCCAGGCTCCTTGGGGTGCAAGTTCCAACCCTGGGGCAGTCTAGTTCGGCCTGTTAAACTCTTTTTTTTGTTGTTTAAATTTGGAGAGAAGGTAAGAGCACCTCCCCTCCCCATCTTCTCAGTAGGGCTTGCGAGGGTCCTGGAGTTGGTGCTGGTAGCTAAGACTCTGAGGCAGCCCCTTTCTATTTGGCAGTTTTCCTTCTAGGATCCAAAGATCCACTGGATTCCTCTTAATTATCTTGAGGGTGAGCTTGGTCAGAGTTGGAGTCTGATTCTGGGCTCAGGTTGGCAGACCATATTGTGGATATTGTGGATTTCCCCGGATTGTTCGTGCGGGAGTGGGCCAGTACGCTTGTACCACCAAACCAACCGCTTGACAGACTGCTTGGGAAAGCTTCCCTTTGCACAAATCACAGGGAAGGAGTGAATGCAGCCGTGGCTGGCAAAGCAGGAGGAAACTGTGCATGGTGTTGTCTTCTATGTGAAAAGGGTCTTTCCAGGTGTGACTTTAGTATCTTGAGGTGGGGAGCTTATCCTAGATTTTCCAGGTGGGCCCCTAATGCAGCCACAAGTGTCTTTCCTCAGAAGAGGAAGGTGGAGAGAGACTTGGCAGAGATTGGAAAGGAGGAGGCCCCAGGAAGATGAGGCAGATGGGCGTGAGGTAGCCTCTGAGGCCTGGAAGAGACAAGGAATGGATTCTCTCAGGCCTCTAGGGGTGGCACAACCCTGCTCACACCTGACACAGGCCAGTGACGGCAAACCTTCTAGAGCTTTCCATGATACTAAGAGCCTCCTGTGGCACCAGTGCCATATGATACCTACTTCACCTTGTGGGCTCCAGAACTGTAAGGTTGTAGATTTCTCTTGTTTAAAGCACCCGTTTGTGGATATTTGTCCCAACAACCAAAGGGCACCAGCACAGATACCCTAAAGAGGATCCAACTCCATAAATAGGGCAAGCTTGAGCTGGGGAGAGACTGAGAAGTTTCCGCGGTGGGCTTCTGGTCTGAAAGGCAACATGGGCTGGGCTCCAGGTATGCAGCAGTGTGTACTGATACCTGTGGAGTTTTGTGGTGGTATCGCTCTGAGTTTTGACTTTGGGTTGTGCTGCACTGCAGCCTTTGAAGGGCTATCAGTCAGGTGCGGGTGGGCTAGAGTGGGGGGGACCATGGTGACTAGAGCTTGGAGGCAGGGGTCTGATGTGGGCACAGTACAGGGTTGGACTGAAGCTGTGAGCTTCGGGTCTTAGGTCCCTGTGGCTGGCATATCTGGGCAGGCCATGAACGCAAAGAACATGTTAGCAAAACAACAAAAATATCCCACAACCTCTCAGGGTAATTTTGAATGCAGAAATGAATAGATTTTCCCAACTCACAGAAATTTTCTCAAAGGTATGTTTTCTTATTCTTTTACACAATTACCTGGATATTGTGGGCCCAGTATGTTTTTTTGGTAAGTGGAGATTGTTTCCACGGGGTCAGTTGTAAGCTCTCCTTATGGATAGTGAGTCTAATTCAATGACGTTTAGGGTTCAAAGATAGAACGTGTTTCTTGATTGATTTTTTTGCTGTTATTTATTGGGTGCTTGATTTGTGTTAGGAGAATGAAATGAGAGACTGGCTTAGAAGAGGTGAGAAACTTGCACTGGTGGTGTTGCCCCTGGGCTGGCCACACAGCCACTTGTCTTTGGAGTTTTGCTCTTCATGCCACATTTTTGGGAGGCAAGGGTGAGAACTGTCTCTGGCACCACAGTGTGTTATGGGGAGGCCTAGGTGTGCCCCATGAAGATGGACCTACCCGGATGGCCGTGCCCCAGCCTGGCCTTGTCCCCTTGGCACATGGACCTTCAGGCAATGTTGAAACATGGTACACTGAGAATCAAAGAGGCCTCGGAGCATCCATGCTAAGTGGGATCTAGAAAGGCAGCTCTGCTCATGGGCAGAAGTCAAGTTTGGCAAACAGGATTCACAGACAGCACAAGCAAGAAAGCGCATCCTTTTCATGCCTACAAAGATTGTTCCTGTGTTCTAAAACCACAACAATTAAAGGACCAATGATCATTGATAGGTCTCCCACTACCTCAGCAGCTATTATGTATAGTAGCTGCCCTCTTCCTATGGTGCCTTGCCCCCTCCCCTGTGTGGCATCATGCCAAGATGGTTGCTACCACCAAAGAATAAACCCTTCTTCCCAGCATGCCCCTGGTCCCATCTAGAGAGTAACCTAATACTCACTCACCTCCTACCATCTAGTGACATCACCGGCTCCTCCATTCCCTAGTCACTACCTCACTCAACCCCACCTCAGCCCCTACAAACCCCACCCCAGTCTCTATAAAAGACTCTCCCTGCCCCGGCCTTATTGCTTTTGTCTCTCCTTTGTTCAGAGCCAGCCTGGCAGATCTATTCTCCTAATAAGGGCTTGTTGTGGCCTGGTCTGGTCTTGGTCTTCGGCCCTTTTACCTGAAAATCATAAAATGGAATTTTGGTTTGTGTCAGTGATGGCAAAATCCACAGGCAACCCAAGTCTTAACTTCCATAGCGGAGAGAGTCTGTCTGTTTGAAGGGAGCCTGCGTCAGCTGGGCTATGACATACCACACCCCAGCCTCTCCCACTGGTGCTGAATGCCTATAATTCCAGCTACCCCGGAGGCCGATACAGGAGGATTGCAAGTTTGAGTCCAGCCTAGGCAACTTAGTGAGACCCAATCTTAAATAAAATAAAATAACATAAAATAAAATAAAATAAAAATTTAAAAGGGCAGGGGATGGAGCTCAGTGGTAGAGTGCTGCCTAACTACAACAAAAACCCAACTTGTATGATGCCTGGAGTGGTGACTGGCATAGATAGTCACATGCCACCAGGGTGGCTGCTCTTAGGACCTTTGTGGAAAGAGCAGGCTCTAGGAGTCGACACACCTTGGGGAAGCCCTGTTCTTGCCACTCAGGAAGGCCTTCTCCGAGCCTCGGGTCCTCCTCTGTGAGGTTCCTCTGAGGAATGATTTGGAAGATGACCTTGGAGAAAGCTCCTGGTCCATGTAACTTCTAAACTGAGTAGCTTCCTTCCTTCTGTCTATGTCTTTAGGTACTTCAGGAGTTTTGTTATTTTAGTAGGTTTTTGTCCCCAAGAAATGTCCCCTCACAGTTTTTCTAGATAAAAACAGGATGCCCAGTTAAATTTGAATTTAAATACTCAATGAGTGAGTAAATATTTCATAGAGCACATGGGATATGCTTATACTGAAAATTATTTAATGTCTATTTGAATTAAAATTTAACCAGCTGTCTGGATTTTCATTTGCAAAATCCAGCCACCCAGTGGCCCTTCCTTCTGCATGAAAGTGTCAAATTTGGGGTCACTTCCTGTTGCTTGGGAGAGTCCCTCTGAGATTGTTAGTACCCAGGATGGGATCCCCTTTGTCCCTTCTTTGGCCCTGAGACCTGAGAAAACCCTCCCGTCCTTCTGTTCTCTGCCTGTTACCTTCGCTGCTCTGGCTTATCTCTCAGTGGTCCTTCCTAGTTCCTTTTCCTTGACTTCAGAGCTGGTGGAAGACATCTGGGCAAGCTGGCATTTTGGTATTGTGTAGACAAAATAACCCACTGGCTTAATTGCATCTTTCACTTTTCAAACACTTGTTTTGGCTTCATGTAGACACAATCCAAGTGCCACTGACCTGCCCTTTCAGTCCCAATTCTCAGCAC